TTCAAGTCTATCATCTCATTCGACCCTTATGCCATCCTGCCGGGTTCTCTTGCATTCATTTATTCATTTAACATTTATCATATGCAGCTGCACCCTGCCAAGCTAGCAGGGCTTGAAAATTGATGCTCATTTCATAAATGAGCAGACTCAGATCTGGAGAGTTGTCAGGTGGTTTGTCCCACATTCCACAGCTAGTGGGAGCCAGGCCAGGACAAGAGCAGAGCTTTCAGACCCCTGCACTATCCTCTGCCCCACCCATTTCTTACCCTCCTGTACTCAGGCAGCCACGGAATCCACCCTCCCTTTAGTCACTAGTTATGTACATTCTGCTCTTCAGAGACCGAAACATCAGGATGACATTGATGTTATTAGATTACTTGCGGGTGAGTCTGCATTACGACAAGCCGTGGAAAAAGAAGGCTGTTAGACAGTCTTCATCCTTGAAGCAGTGTCAGTCGGTAGAGGGGGAAAAAGAAGCAAACCTGGGATGCTCACATGCAAAGTAACTGCCTGCTGGTGTTTGCAGGACAGCCAGCCTGGCATGGAGGGAGCGCTCAGTAATTCTGGATTTGGAGTGTTGTTTCTGTTACTATTATTGCCGTAACGGGTGCTTTCTTAATCTATCTCCAGTAGCCATGGATCAGCCTACACTCCCCTTTCCCTCTGTAAAGTAAGCCGCCTGAAGCCCACACCACACTGATGGCTCTCAGTTAACAGGTCACTCAAGAACACCTGGGCCTTTCTGCTCCCACCTGGGGAACGGTTGCGCTTACTAACCGTGGGTGTTCCCAGTCCTGTGAGTATGAGCTTTAACTTAAAACTTTAACTGTTACATTAACTGGTAAAAAATGAGGTTGATAAGCATGAGAACTGTTTCTATGAAAACTGTTCACTGCTTCAGGACGATTCAAAGAATGAGTTTCTAGAAGGTTTTTGCTATTGAAGTTGAGGTGGGTGAAACAACTATGAAAGATGAAGGGAATAAAACCCTAGAAAGATTCTGTACTTAGACTGCTTGGCAAGTGACTTAGTTCTCCTTCCACTTTAAAGAAACCAAAACTAGAGGTTGTAGGCAAAGCATTAAAGGAGTAATTGATAGTCAGTAGACCTTTTCTCAAAGGGACAAGCCTCAATGCTGTATCAGAAAGCTTGTGTTGAACGATTTACAGCAAGTGACAGATGGCTTGATAAGGCCAGGGCAACATAGGATCCGTATTTGAGGAGCCCCAGTGGATAGCTTCTGCAACCCAGTGTCTTACTCAACACTTACTTCTTCATCCATAGAGAAAATGAGATTGGCAAACACTTCTGCAATATCAAAACGTGTCCCACTTATAAGACATTACCTCCAAAAAGAATGATGCTAAAATTAGAGCATCAGTGGGGAAAAAAATCCCAGAGCAATACTCCTAAGTGCTGCGTGCCACTTGGGACTGGCTACATAATTTCCAGAGCCCAGTGAAAAATGACAATACGAGGCCTTGTGCAAAAATTAACAAGAATTTCAAATTGATGACAGTAGAACATTAAAGCAGGCGTGGGGCCTTTCAGAGCACAGGGCCCTGTGTGACTGCACAGGTCACACACACATGAAGATGGCTCCCGCCACTTATTGTCATAGGCAAATCAGTAGACTTTTTTAACGAAGTTTAGTCTGTACCAGTCTCCTAGTCTCATAAAAGTCAGCATGGACGGAATGGACTTGGACTTGACAAAGGTGGTTTCCATCATTGTACCTTTGATAAAGAAACGTGAAGAATAAAATTGTTTGAGAATCTCATATTCTTTCTAGGTAACTTTTCTTTACATCCTAATCATCAGGAAATTTAAAGGTCTTATTTTTGTCCTTTCCCCAACTCTGCCCACCCCCACAAGAATAATATTCTTGATCCAGTCTGTGAATCAGGATTCTGAAATGTTTACACGTATCTCTTAGGCAAAAGGGTTTGAGTGCCATTTTTAGGAAAAAAATAGAAAATAAGAATATAGATCCTATAGAATCTATCAATGATATTGTTTGCCATGAAGTGATGCCATGGAATGAAATTCTTCATATGAAAATTGATGTGCAAGATGATAGTAAAAACATGGGTTTTTACCTGAGTTCAGACAAATTGAAGGTTCTGACATGGAAGAAGTTTACACAACAATGGATTCATGATGACAATTTGTTGGAAAGTAAAGTTTAAAATGATGGAGAAATCATATATACCATGATATTAATTTATAAATCTCAATATGAAGAGGACAAAGAAGAGGTGAAATCACATTCAAAATAAAAAATTCCTTTTTTTTTTGCTTGAGGAAGATTAGCCCTGAGCTAACATCTGTGCCAATCTTCCTCTATTTTGTATGTGTGTCATCACCACAGCATGGCTGACAAGTGGCATAGGTGGGCACCTGGGATGCAAACCTGCAAACCCAGGCCACCGAAGTGGAGTGTGCCAAACTTAACCACTAGACCACAGGGCTCGCCCCTTTTTGTTTGTTTGTTTGTTGCGCTGAGGAAGATTCGCCCTGAGCTAACATCTTTGCCAGTCTTCCTCTATTTTGTATGTACATTGCTGCCACAACATGACCACCAACAAGTGGTGTAGGTCCGTGCCTGGGAACTGAACCTGGGCCACCAAAGCAGAGCGTGCCAAACTTAACCACTAGGCCGTGGGGCTGGCCCCAAACATGGTATATTTTAGATCAGAATAGAATGTTATGGTATATACACATTGGTTTTGATTTCTCACTTTGACTTTTTTCTGTTAACTAACTAGTGACCTCTCAATAGGAAGGCTTCGGTGTTACATGCTCACTCACTCTGCTGCGACAAAAGCCCTTGTATCAGCTCTTGGTCAGCAGATGCTGAGTTCCTTGAAAAAGTCATTTTCAAGTTCACATCTTAAACATCTTTTTTAACTTAAAACATATAACTTACATTCACACACTGATTATTTTTTAGTATAAGGCTGTATCGGCAGGTTATAGTCTCCTGAACCATTTTGACATTAACCATGCCATCTGAATTTCCGGTTTCTATTTCTTTAGTGCAGAGCGAGAAGTTAGAGACATTTGCAAAACAAATTTCAGTGCAAAACCCTTCTGGAGTTTTACTGTTTTTTGTTTTGTTTCGTTTTTTTCCCTTTTCCAGCAGTTGCCTTGCCCACAGCACCACACCAGTTCAGCAGCTTGTTGGTTTTTTCTTTTGTTCTACCCTTAGTGTCTCACTTTTATTTGGGTCCTTGGAAAGCATTCACTTTAGTTTTCATAGAAACGTTTCCCATTTTTTTTCACACTTAGATTTCACCACTTTACATAATAGATATTTAGTTAGATTTCCTAATGAGTTCAACTGGTAAAAACAGACCTGAGAACTAACTTAGTAACTGGGGGGAGCAAGAAGGCACAGACATGCTAGAGAGTAGACGCCTAGCTTAGAGAGAACGCTGTCTGTTATGAGCACCTGTCGGTACATTTTAGAGGGAATGGAGAACGTGGGTCAATCTGGCTAGCTGGTGAATGGAAATACTAGCTGGCCTCCCCCATTTTGTTTAGGGGGTTATTAAGCAAATAAATCCCTGCCACTACCCATCTTGGAATATACCCCCATACAACTGCCTAGGGGAGAAACAGCATGAGTCTCAAATCTTCCCGTGTGACTTTGGATTTATTGCTCACATTGAAACCCCTGTGTTCATGGGCCTCTGTGCCTCGGTCTCGGCTTCTCTGTGGGTACCCTGTGGGTGGAGAGAAGGCCCCCCAAAGGGATCTCCTGTATGCCCTTTGTATTTTAGTCAGACCATCCAAAACATGCCTTCCAAAGTCAGGGAACATCTTTCCATGTGGAGTAGTGACAGAAACTTAATTTCACTTGCATAAATTATTATTAGGCTGGGTCACAATAGAGAAGAAAAAAGATGAGGGAGATGAATAATGAGTCGTTTTGATGCTCACCTCCCCTGGTCAGACTAAAAAATTCTGTTTGTGAGGCTGAGTGTTGGGGCATTTCTGCATCTGCTTGGTTTGTGGCACTTATTTTCCCTGGGGACATTTCTAGAGCATCAGTCTTTAAAATAGAAGAATAATAAGAGGTAGCGAGTTTCCTAACACTTGAACTTTTCTATTTGTTTTTTAAAAAGGCCCGTTAATTAGAGACTGGCTCAATCCAGTCATCCACAAAGAAGTGATGATAGAACCTCCTAGGGGCAAAACATCCCTCAGGGTTCAGAAGAGTGATTTAAAGGATTGATCTCCCCCCCCCCCCCCAGATTTTCTGAATCTCTTTTGTTCCTGGAATCAAAAAAAAAAAAAAAAGGAAACTGATCAACCTCTGCTAAATTGAGCCTGGGTGGCCCCATGGCCCTCCACGGCTGAGCTGTTAGGGACCTCCATGGAGGGTGGGAAGTGTAAAGGCACCCAAGGTGACAGAGGCCTCAGATGTGAGGGTCCGGTCAGAGAGGAGGCAGGGCAGGGCTGAGGTGGCCTCCAGGGTCCTGTCAGGCAACAACCTTCCCTCCAGCCTTCGCTTCCCTTCCTGACACGTTTGACCACGGCTGGGCCGTGGGCTGCTCGCTGCATATCGATCGCGCGCGCACCCTTTGGTAACATCTGAATCTTGTCTGTGCTTCTACAGTCCGGGTGTGCTCTGTTCCCAGGGTCCCGGTGGCAAACTCAAAACTCGCGCATGGCCATTAGTCTTGCTTCTCGTCTCTGGGCTTCTCCCTTCGCTTCTTCTGGCTGCTCTGCTCTTATCTTCTTTCTCTCTCTCCCCCTCCCTCCTTCCTCGGCCGCAGTCAGGCCTGGTGAGATGACAAATGAAGGAGCCGCTGGGGGTGCCCGATGCGGTTTAGGAGCCGTGTCGGTAGGAGGGGCCGCTCCAGAACAGCCTGTGAGCGCACTGGGGCGCCATCGCCCCCGATTCTTGGGGAAACTTTCCTCTCACAAGACCAAGTTCTCACGGAGACTTGCTGACTCACCCTCTGCGTGTTCTCTCTTCCTCTCCCTTGTAGGCAATGTGACTGGAAACAGTAACTCCACGTTTATTTCCAGCGGGCAGGTGATGAATTTCAAGGGCGACATCATCGTGGTCTACGTCAGTCAGAACTCCCAGGAGGGCCCGGCGGCGCCGGGCAGCGGCGCGGGGGAGCCGGTGGGCCGCCCGGTGCAGGAGGAGAGCCCGCCGCGCTGTGACTCGTTCGCGGGCCTCGGGCCGCGCTTCCCGGACACGTGTGCCGGCCTCGAGGCGCGCCCGGGCCCGGGGCTTCAGGAGCGCGGTGCCCCCGAGCCCGACAAGGCCTCGCGGCCGGTGCAGGAGCAGGGCGAGGCCGACGCCCGCGCGCCCGGGGCTTGGCGCTGAGCGGCCGGGGACCCGCCGCGGCCCACGGCGCCCCTCGGATCCGCGATGCCGCCGGAGTGCCGACCCCCCGGCCGTCCAGCCCGCCCTCTGCGCGGGCACGAACCGGACCGCATCCTTACCCGGCGGCGCCGGCCGCTAGCACCTGCACCTGGGCGGGGCCGGGGAGCAGGGGGCGGGGCCCCGATCTGCGCCTTTCCGCGCCTCCATTCGGTACATCTGCGTCAAATTACCTGACGTTCTCTGCCCACCTGCTCTTCATAGAATCGGGGACTTTTTAAAAACGTGCATTAGTTGTTACCATTTGCTGATGTCCAAAGTCACATACCAACTAATGACACAGGTACACGTTGCTCTCTTTGGTAGCTCCACTTTTTACCTCCTTTTATGGATTTTCTTTCTCCTTTCCCACCCTCCTTCCATCATTTCATCAGTACTGGTCTCTATGACATCTCTTTTTATGGCTATCTGGCTCTATTGGGGTTTGTATTTTTCCCCCTATATTTGTATGTCACTTTCATAACTTTCCTAGCATTGTTCTTGTTACTCCCCCCCCCCCCCCCCCCCCTTTGACTATTTAAAGATTTTCTTGAAAATTCTCCTAAGGGTCCTGGTCTTTACATATTTTTCGCACCCCTTCTCACAAGTAGGTGCCTGTGTTTGGGCGATGGCTTCTCGAGGGAGGGGTTGTCTGTACTAAGCACTTTGGGGAAAAAGCTGGAAATGTGAAGCCTGGAGGGAGGCTCAGGGAACAAGTGGAAAGATTCTTAGTTTTTGAAAAATTTTCTGTTTCCGTTTTTCTGAAGGAAGGAGAAAGGGAAACCCCATTTTCCCCCTTGAATGTTTTTAGGTTTGTGTCAATCCTTGGGCAGAACTAAGTGGCAGTTTTCGTCCTCGTCCCTTTCGCCATCCCGAAATAGTTCATCCCCTGGGGTGAATTTATTTACCTGTTCCAGCAGATGCAGTCAGGTACTTTGGCAACTAAATCTCTCAAAATCCAAGTTGCTGCAGCTTGGCATTCTTATTCTTGATGTCTCTCTGGAAAAGAAGAGGAAAGTGAACAGGGCACGGGGATAGCCTGCACGGAGTGAAAAAAGGTGCCAGGGAAGTTCCAGAAAGAAAGAATAAAGTGGAAATGTTAATTTGCGTTTTCTCTTTCTGAATAAGAAGGGCATAAATGTGTTTAGGCAATAGGCCCTATTTTCCTCCTAAATAATTGTAATTTAGCCTTGTAGAAGTGGAAAACATTCCTGCTATTTTCTAATGCATTTAAATTAAAAATCAAATCCTCATATTGTGAATTGAAGAAAACTTACCCTGAAGATGCTTTTCTCTTAGCATCAGTCCTCTTGTGAAGAAGTAGAGCGTCTGAGTCAGACTGAAAGGAATTACCCTGAGTTCTATCTGTTGTGGCCAGTGAGCATTTCTTCTCCTCAAATACTGGAGAAAAATTAAAAACCTAAGCATATTAAAATTAACTTTGTGGACCTGGTAGGTTTTAAGAGTGCTGCTAGTTGTCACTGTCTAGACTTTAATGGCCACAATGCCCAGCTGAAAGGAATGGCCGTTGGTCACTGGTTTCTCCCTACTTGTTGCAGATCTCTTGGAAATGCTAGAAGAGTAGTAGCAAATTGTGATTTTTAATGAAGAAGCAAAGGGTGGCTCTGTAATTTATGGGACTCCTTAGCTGACATAAAAAACTACAGGAAATAACTGCATTGCCAGAATGATCAGTGGTGGGAATTTACTGTCCTGCCCTTTTAGTTAATATCCATCCAAAGAGAAATGTTATAAAAATGGAAGAAACCATTATACCTTTTGATATGGAGTATCTTAGACAAAACAGAGTTCACAAAATAGAATGCTGAACTAGAGACCCAAGTTTCGACTGTGACTGTCATCATCTCACTGATGTTACTTTACCTTCCTGTGCTTTCTTTTTTCTATGAAAAGGCACTAATGATCATATTTGACACTTTCCCTACCCAGAGATAACAAAAGGATGCTACAGTGCCTGTTAAAGTATCTTGAGCTCCTTAAATAAAAGGTGCTAAATAAATACACAAGAATCTACTTTCAGAAAAAGGTAGTATTCTTTCCCACACTGATCCTTACTAATTCTATATTGATCCAAAGACAATGAAATGATAGGAAATGTATAGCAAATATAAAAAGGTCTGTGTCTATATTGTAGAGATGTATGTCACAAATGTAAACAGAATGAAATGAAGACAATAATGAAAAATTGGGGGAGAGGGGCATGTGATAAAGACTTTATTAAACTTGTATTTGACCATAGAGAATTTTTTTTTTCATGGCTTGCTTAAACAGAGTTCTTTGTGAAATAATGGTCTGACTTGTTCCTGATCTCTGTGGTGTGCCATGAGGTCAAATGTTAGTTATGTTGTGTCTTGTTGGTGGAAACCTCAGCAACAGAGTTGGGACAGAAAATGCCTTGCTATGATGATATAGCGTATTATGATAGATATATCATATATGCTATTTATCTCATAAGAAAATTCTTTAAAATACAGGTTGGCTATGCAAAGAGTTGAAAGGGATGTGGAATTTAGGGTTTCCTACTCACATTTAACTCTACTACCAAAAGAAGGAAGAATTAATTTCTCTTTCTACCTTAAGCACAAAGGGCAGTTTGATGTCTTGAAAGCTTCATGTGAGGAAGGGGGTGCTGTGTCACAAACCACCACCCCAAGACTTAGTGGCTTGAAACAGTCACCATTTATTGAGCTCACAGTTCTGTGGGTTGGTTCAAGTTGGTTGGCTCTTCAGGCCTGGGTGAGCTCAGCTGGGTTTGCTCCACCCATGTGCAATCTGCAGGCTGGCCGGCTGGGGGTTGGCTGGGCTAGACTGAGCCCTCTTCACACAGGCCCTCACACTCCCAGAAAGCTAGCCTAGCCATGTTCTCATGGCGGTGGTAGTGTTCCCAGAGACAAGCAAAAATGAGCCACGCTTTTCGAGACTAGGCTTGAACTGGCACACTGGCACTTCTGCTACATTCTGTTGGCCAAAGCAAGACACAAGGGCCCACCAGATTCAAGAGGTGGGGAAATAGACCCCCACCTCTTGATAAGAAGAGTTGCAGGGTGACATTGGGAGAAGGGTGGATACAAGGGAAGAATGGGGCTCCTTTTGCCGTCTATCTACCACAGTGACATTGTTTGAATAAAATGGCACAGGGAAGAGTGCATCTGGAGCAGGAGTGGAGCAGTTCCCAGCCTCTAATAAGTGGTTCCTTCTCTGGTGGTCGAATTCCTTTGATGCACAGTACAGTGGATTCCTACAACTGGAAGGACACCAACATTCACATTTAAGTATTGAAACTTCTTCCAAAGCCAAATATGCATGATTGGAGAACTGGATCTACTTTTCTACTGCATTCCATCGGCACAGAGCACTGATAAGTGACTATTTGTAAAGTCAAGAAAAATGGTGAGATCGTTTGGGTAGAGGAACCTGTTACATAAATGGATGTTGTTGGTGTTCACTCTTCATGCTGGTTCAACAAACAGACTCTTTATGGGTAGGTACTGGGCAAAAGGGTGAGCTCGAGCAAAGGTAGTGTCTTTGGTGGGAGAGATGTAATTTTGAAACATTTGCTCTTTGACAGTTGCTGATGGCACATGACTCCCCTTGGCCATCTGGTTTGGGGAGTTTTGAGGTTCTCCAGGCATGAGTTGCAAGCATTCAAAGCCTTAAACATTCGATTGTGAATCATCATTTTTATTAGTGTGCTTTTAACGCTTGGGCCCTGAGCATCCCTGAGAAACGAGATAAAGATAGCTGGAGAGTCCTAAGGAGTCTAGGAATGTCCTACAGAGCAGGGAAGACTGTGGACATTGCTCTGCTCCAGGGCACCAGAGGAGCAGCTGGGAAGGGATTATCTGTGACATTCCTGACCCTCAGGGCTGTTCCACAAACACTACCTTGCAACTATTAAGGCCTTGCCAAAAAGAGGTGGGACCTAAAGTTGGGCAGTGGTGGAATGAGCAGTGGGCACAAACATGTCAGGTAGGTTCACTGAAGCCAAACCCAAAGGATCAGGGGGGCCAAGGCACTGGAAACCCTGGACCAACACTCCCCTGGCAGCCCCCACTAAGAAACTGTCTCCCTGGGTAAAACAACCCCATGTCCCCCAAGGGTTGAACAAGGGGAGCACTGAATAAATTTCCAAGTTGGGAGGGACACCTAAGTGACCTCTGACTGTGACCCCTTCACCATGGTTTTTCATGGCTCTTAGAAGTCTAACTTTCTGTCTGTCTGTCCACCTCACTACTCCACAGTTATTAACCCCAGATTGAAACTCATGCTTGTCTAACATCTTTTTCCTCCATTCCCCTTAGTAAAACTGACATGCAGGAACACTTTCCGAAAAATCTTAATTTAAGAATAAGATTACCAATAGCATAAAAGTTAAAGTGACAAATTCCAGGTCTATGACAGTAACTTCATTCTACCACAGGGGCTGGTGAAGTTACCCTGTCCCCCTCTGTAACGGAACAAGCAGAAGGTTTGCAATCAGACCTGGAATCAAAACTCAGATGCTATTGACTTCCCTTGTGCAGCCGCTTCGTTTCTTAGCCTTGTTTTCTACATGTGTAAATTGAAGATAACAATACTAGTTTATAGGGCTGGTGTGAGGATGAAATGGGATGAGGTACAACCAAGCACCGCAGAGTTCCTAGAAGATACCAGTTGTGGAGACCCACCTGTCATGCGTCACTCTCCCTCTCTGTCTCTTACATCTGTCCTTTCCTGGACATGGCCACAGTCTCAGACATCATGTTCCCTTCCTGAATTGGACCACGTAACTGTAAGCTAACTATGCCCATCCCAGACACCTTCCTACTCTTTGAAACCAGGTCCAAGGGCACCTTTTCCACAGTCAATTGACAAGATTATGGTGGTTGACCCGAAGTTCTCATCTTCTGACATCACACACTGAGGGAAGTGGACTTGTGCCATGTAGCTCCATGATACACTGCCTTAGCAGGACAGCACAGTTAGAATGGGCCTCGGTGGGCCTTCCGCTCCAGCCACTAACATTTGGGGAGAGTGAAGGATACTAGGATGTATAGGTTAAAAGGCCGTGTTTCTTTGTCTCCCAGTGTCCTGGATGTCTCTCCCAGTTTGAGGAGGATAATAAATTGGCCACCAGCTTGGAAGAGGTGGCATTATAGACCCAAGCCCCTTTGGAAGGGGATTGGAGCCCAGTAAAAGCTTTCACTGTGACCCAGGCTCTTGATTTCTCGTGGGCAGCAGTAGCCCCAGAAACAAAGGCTACATGGACTAAAGTCACGAGAAAGACTACATTCTTATGATAAGACTGTTATGAGTTGCCTTAATTTAAACAGAGGCAGTAAAACATCTTACCCTAAAATGGAAAAGCGAATTCAATTTAATTGGCTTTTATGGCCTCTCTATTTCAATGGCAAAGAGACCATTAAAAAAATGCATATTTAAAGCTCTTAGAAGAGCTTTTTCTAAATACTTACTGTATCAGTGGAAAAATAAGCATAATTTTTTATATCAGGGTTTCTTTGTGATTTATATCCAGTAAATTTCACCCTTTTTGGTATTATACAGTTTTATGAGTTTTCACAAAAATATATAGTTGTGTAACCACCACCACCACAATCAAGATACAGAGTATTTTCAGCACCTCAAAATTTCCCCTCTTTCCCTTTATGGTCAATCCCCTCTCCACTACCTCCCACCCCTGGCAGCTGCTATCTGTTCTTTGTCCCTACAGTTTTGCCATTTCTAGAATGTCATATAAATCGAATCATAGAACAGGTAGCCATTTGAGTTTGGCTTCTTTCAACATAATGCCCTTGAGATCTGTCCAAGTTGTTGGGTACATCATTAGTTAGTTCCCTTTTGTTACTGAGTAGTATTCCATTGTATTTATGTACCACAGTTTATCTATTCACTAATATTTGGGTTCTTTCCAGTTTGGGGCAATTACAAATAAAGCAACTATAAAACTTACGTGGACATGTGGTTTCATTTCTCTTGGGTAAATACCTAGGAGTGCGATTGTGGGACTATACAGTAAGTATATATTTAACTCCACTAGAAACCACAAAATTGTTCTCCAAAGTAGCAGTGCCATTTTGCATTCCCATCAGCAATGAATGGGAGTTCTGGTTGTTCCACATCCTCACTAGTACTTGGTATTGTCAGTTGTTCATATGTTTTAATTTTAGCCATTCTAATAGATGGATAGTATCTCATTGTAGCTGTAATTTGCAGCCCATGACCGAGCATCTTTTCATATGCTTATTTGACCATCTTTATCTCTTATTTGGTGAAGTGTGTGTCAAATCTCTTGCCCATTTTTAAATTCTGTTGTTTATTTTCTTATTGAGTTTTGAAAGTTCTTTATATATTCTGGATACAAAAATATATAGATTTTTAGGACCTTACTATTTCAGTGAAAAAGAAACCATGGAAAGATATATTTTTAAAGCTTTTAGGGTATTCTGTAGGTATTTACTACCATTAGTAAAAAGTAAAGACATTATCGTTTTTCAGTTTTTAACAAAAATTGAGTTCCAGGAGACATATGTCAGTAACGTTTATTCAGAGTAGATGTTTCCACAATAAAGCCTGTTTTCAAAGTGGAATTCCTAGTGTCGGGGCCTAGAGCCATCATTTGCTCAGTGGGCTGCCAGTCCTGTAAGGCTGTATGGAATGCCACAGTCACCCTGCCCGGAGGCACGTTCACCCATGGAAACTGCATTTTGTCATAAACATGCTGATATAAATGTCTTTTATTGGTTGAGGAAATGGGATATTTTTCTATTGATATTTTCTGATTTCATGATTTTATATATTAATATTCTAATGATGAGGTGTTGAGTTAGGGAAAAATAAAAACTCCAAATGGCATCATCATCATCCTCTATGTCTGGAAATGGAGAGAGCAGGTGGCCGTGGGCTTGGTCTTGTTATAGTGGGAAAGGCCGTTTGCCATGGGCTATATTGGCCTAGAGAGTGACAGGAGCTGCTGTGCCCTGACAGAAACGCCTCCACAGGTGTCCCCTGGTCTGCAGGTCCCCTGGTCTGGGGGACGAGGAAGGCAAGACTGCATGGAAGCGCAGCAGCCTCCTGAGAGGTTCGACACGTGGGAGCTTCTTGAAGGATTAGCCTCATCCTAAGGGAGGTCCCCTGGCAGGAAGGACACCGAGGCTTCCAGAGTGGCACTTGGGCTGGTGGTAAAGAATTGGGCCTGGACAGGTGGACACTCCTACAGGCCCAGCCCCCCAGACTCTTCTCTGGAGATAATGGCTGAGCGAGAGCAAGGTAAGTCGGAGTTTACCCCTGGAGCCTCTCCTCCCCTCGGCAGCACACAAGTATCTGTATGTGTGGGATAGTGCTTGACAGTGACCAGAGGCTGTGACAGGGCACTACTGAGCTCACTAGTCCTTTTCATCTCTCTGTGCTATTGGGAAGGAGAAGCTGCCTTCTGCTTTGGACTGAGTAAGACCTTGGGGGTCTTGGATGCCTGCGGTGGGAGGCTTCACATGTGAGCAGTTTGACATATGGGGGCTCCAGCAATTAATAGGAAAAAATAAAAGAGATGAGACCGTATTTATACTTGCAGCTAGTGAAGCAGACCATGGCGGAGATGGACAGATGACGGGAAAAGAAGAATCAGGACATTATGAATTTGACCATAACTATCCCTTCTTCATAAAAGACCAAAGTCTTTCACATGGACTCCATGCTCCACCCTCCTCCAGGCTCATCTCATACCACTCTTCTGCACTCCCGCTGCACTGGTCGTCACTGCACGCACCTCCCGCCTCAGGGCTTTTGCACATGCAGTTTTCTCTGACTGCAAATTTCTTCCACCAGTTCTTGCTGTGGTCCTGACTTCTTCCTGTGAGATAGACTGGGAAGATATTTGTTACTCTTTTTTTTAACCAATCAGAAAACGAGGACAATCTAGATGGGCAGAGGCCAGGACATGGAACAGGGGTCACTGACGCAAACGTGTCAGAATCAGAGTCTTCTTTATCTCAGTCTGCTCCTCCCCATCCTCTTCCACTATTCTCCAACTTCCCTGACCTCTTTTCTGCGTTCCTTAATTCTGTGTCCCTTTCTCTCTCTTTTCTTGTTGTTCAAGCCATCCTCCGACTCTCTGCATCTTCCCCCAGGCACTCCCTCTTTCCATCCTTCCCTGTGAGTCCCAAAGTTCTTAACTGTTGTTCCCTCAGTGACTCCTCTGTTCCTCCTGCCTTAATACTCATCTCCTGGGGCCCTCGGCCTCCCCTGGTCAGTCTCCTCGTTTTCTCCTTCCAGTCCTTGCTCTTCCCCTCTGCCTGGTCCTCCATTCCCTCCCCATCCCAGAGCCTGGGGCTGCAGAGGGTGCTGTGGTAAGATCTTCTTGCCGGAGCTAGACCTTCTACCAATCACTTTTTTAGAACTTGCCCTTTTCTTGGAAATTACTGTTTGTTCCTCTTGCTCCAGTGGACACATGGCTTTCATGTCCAGGCAAAGTCCAGAACCCATCTTCCCTCAGGAAGGACCCCTCAGACGCAAAGGGCGGGGTTTGGACTTGGACCTCATCATTTCAGCCTCTGGATGCATGTACGGATCCATAGCACTGTTTGTTTGTTTGTTTGTTTTTTGCTAAGGAAGATTTGCCCTGAGCTAACATATGTCGCCAATCTTCCTCTTTCTGCTTGAGGAAGATTGTCTCTGAGCTAACATCTGTGCCAGTCTTCCTCTATTTTGTACATGATTCGTTACCACAGCATGGCCACCATCTAGGTCTGTGCCTGGGAACCAAACCTGGGGCGCCAAAGCAGAGCATGCCAAACTTAACCACCAGGCCACCAGGCCAGCCCCCTGCATAGCACTGTTATTTAAATGATTTTTTAAACCCATAAGCCCTGCTCAATGCTTAATAGTTAAAAGCAACAATGATTTCTGACAGCCTCAAAGGCTTATACAAATGTCTCAGGGACTAGGAGCCCACTCAGGTGAAAGCAAGTCAATTCAGGGAGACATCTCGAGAAGCCAGGAAAAATGAGCCTCAGAATGTTGAAAGGGCAGGAATAAGGAAGCTCTGGAAACTGCCCCTCTATTCTCGCTCCCTCATTTTCCTCTCTCAGACTCTCCATCTCCCGTCATAACTTTCTATGTGTATTGCATGTAATGGCTGCCCTCTTCTCAAATCTTCAGCTCCTAAATCCTTTCATTTCCAGTGTCCACTACCCATTGGCCATATGTATTTGTGTGTGTGTATGTATATATGTGTGTGTGTATACTAAATATAGTATATTTATATAGTAATATATTATTTAAATGTATGATATTTATATTAATATTTTAAAATGTAAAATGTTTTATAGTTACTATATTTAGTATATTTATATACACACACACAGTATGTAAACTATATCCAGTTTATACATAACAGTTCCACATTCTAAGAGAGAGTCTCTGGTTATCGCAGCATAACTTTTGAACCAGGCTACCGTTTATAGCCTGTGTGGGTCGGGCCAATCAGTGGCCAAGGAAGGCCACTAACAGAAAACAAGGCCACTTGGGACAGTCAGGCCTGGGGGCAGGAATGTGTCCAGAGGTAAGTTGGAAGGTGGACCCCTGAACCATGTGTAGCCCCAGACCGCCTAGGTCTCATAAGTGCAAACACAGGATGAGATGATTCTCTTCCAATCTCTGCTCTCTTGGTAATCACTCAAGAAAAGATACAGGGGCCAGCTGGTGGCGTAGCAGTTAAGTTCACGCGCTCCGCTTCAGCCGCACAGGGTTCGCGGGTTTGGGTCCCATGCGCAGACCTACATACCACTCATCAGGCCATGGTGGAAAAGTGGGACTATTTAGATAAGCCTTCTTTGTGTGTCTTCCTTCCTTTTTAAAATAGGCATGTTTATTAAGCCAGAGCTGGCTCTGGTTCAGAAGGTAAAGGAAGGCTAGAGCAGTAATTCCTGATGACATATTATTCAGCTATAAAGGAGAAGGAAATCCTGCCATTTGCGACAACATGGATGGACCTTGAGGGCATTATGCTAAGTGAAATAAGTCAGAGCCAGGAACACAAGCACTGTATGATCTCACTTATATGTAGAATCTAAAAAAGGCAAATTCATAGAAACAGAGAGTAGAACGGTGGTTGCCAGGGGCCGGGGGTGGGGAAATAGGGAGATGTTGGTCAAAGGCCACAAACTTCCAGTTATAAGATGAATAAGTTCTGGGGAATGTAATGTACAGCATGTTGACTATAGTTAACGATACTATATTAAATACTTAAAAGTTGCTAACAGAATAAATCTTAAATGTTCTTACCACACAAAGGTAATTATGTGAGATGATGGAGATGTTAACTAGCCTCATTGTGGTAATCATTTCATAATATGTGTATCAAATCATCACATTGTACACCTTAAACTCACACAATGTTATATGTCAATTATATCTCAATAAATCTGGGGAAAAATAATTCCTGACAATAAGAGAAAGAAACTTTGGCCCTGCAAGAGTTCAAGTATCAGGACTAGAGTGTGGTGTTTTGTCAGGGCCCTGAACTCTGATCAGGATCCTTGCCTGATGCTGAGCTGTCATTTGTCACTGAGCCCAGGCCCCTCACACTGACAGCAGCCTCTGCTCTTGACCTTAAATTTCTGTTGTAAATAAATCCACTTTTGGCTGCCTAAGGGGAAGGAGCAACAGCAGCAATCACTGACAATTCTATTATAGCAAGAAGACAAGAATGTGAGTTTTACTCAGGGTAAAGAGAGAGCCTTACTTCGCATCACAGTCAATCTATGAGGTGACTATTGTCTTTACAGAAGAGGAAACAGGGTCAGAGAGGTTAATGAACTTCCACAAACTCACAAAGCTGGTATGTGTGGTTTGCGTCCAAGCTCCGAGGTTTGCATTCCTGCCCATTGTTATAATGACTTTGTGGCTAGCTGGTCAGGTTTATATCCAGTATGTTTTGCTTCCTCTAACATATTCTGTTTTCAGCTGTAGCAAAATAAGGTGCACTAGGGTTGAACTGATGTAGGTGGAGGAAATCAATGATGGGAATATTTTCAAAATACCCCGAACCTTTTCATTATAATCAGACTTCATTTCTCACATTCAATAGTGAGCTTTAAAGCTTTGCGTTAGACGCTTTATATCCTAAGCTTCCAGTCCATTGGCCCTATGCCCATTCTGTGCATAAGGTGATACTGGTTACCCTTTTTTAGCACCTAGAGCAAGTATAGATTCACGTGCAGTGACAGAAGGATGAGCAACCCCGCTCACGGTAGCTGATAGGCGCTTGTCTGTTATTGCATCCCGTTGGGTCTATGCTGCAGAGCCCTATAGATCTGTGTCGATGACTGTATATTCATTACAGCATTTACTATAAATGATGAAACAGCCACCAAGGCATGGCTGAGAGATCTTTAAACCAGAGCAAACAAATACAAACCCAGCAGTTACTTGACCCTTCATGTCCCGTATCCATGGATGGTTTGGACAAGGAGCAGATGTCCATAGGATGGAGGACGTTTTCCAGGAGGGACAGATGGTGGCCACCATTCTCCAGGAGCACAACAGTCACTCATGGGCCCTGTCAACAGAGTGCATCTGTCTCCTGCTCAGACAGGGAACCAGCCATAGCTTAGTATCCGGGCTAGTTATTGAAGCCCAGCACCTGCCCACCTTCCCTGCACTTGTTTGCATCAAGATGTTAATGAAAGCTTATTCAACATCAGCATGATACTTAGGAAGTCACAAAATAACTGGTTTTTAAATTAGTTTCATTGAATCAGTGTAATATACATGCAGTAAAATTCACCTTTCCTAGGTCTATAGTTCTGTGAATTCTAACAGATGCATGTAGTCATGGAACCACCACCACAATCAAGACAGAACATTTCCATCATTGTAAAAGTTTCCTCCTGCTCCTTTGTGGTGACTTGCCTCCTCCGACCGCCAGCCCCTGGCAACCGCTGACCCCCCTGTCTGGGCCTGTGGCTTTGTCTTTTCCCCAATAAATGGAGTCATGTGGTTTGTAGCCATTGGAGTCTGGCCTCTTTCACTTAGCACAATGCGTGTTTTTGCATGCATCAGTAGTTTGTTCCTTTTTATTGCTGAGTAGTAGTCTTTTGTTTGCATGTACTATAGTCTGTTTATCCATTCACCAGTTGAGCAACATTTAGTTTGTTTCCAGTTTGGGGTAATTATGAATAAAACTGCTATAAACTTTCACATGCAGGTCTTTGTGTGGACGTGGGTTTTCATTTCTCTTAGGTAAATACCTAGGAGTGGGATTGCTGGACTGTATGGTAAGTGTGTGTTTACAATATGGCAATAGATGAGAGATCCAATTGTTTTCCATCCTTGCTAGCACTTGGTATTGTCGACAAACTGACTCTAAAAACAGTTAAAAATAGTTGCTAATGATGGCCAGAGTTTGTTTTGTTTTGTTTCCTTAAAAGCCAGGCTTCTACAGGCTTTAGATCTATCTGAAGAAGTTAATAATGAAATAAAGTATTCTTCTAGGTAATTGCACTCTTAAACTGTGGCTTTTTCCCTCTTATTGTTTAATGAAAACTTTTACAATCAACATCCTTGATGCCCAAGCACTAAGTAGGAGAGCAATTGATCCAGTGCTCAAGAGGTATTTTTAAACATTCAAATCAGGTTGTATTTTCATTAAAAGGAAGCTTTCAACTTCCTTAATGCTGTTTTGAAAAGAATGTGAAGATTCCTGCGTTCTGGGGAAAACCGAAACCATAATTATAACAATGACAACCTTCGACTCTTCATTTCTCTTGCAGGAAATGGCGTTTTTCTTAAAAAGTTAACTGTCTATATGATATATATGGATTATCTACTTCCAGAATTCTGCCTAACCAGTTTAGAATACTG